TGCAACATAACAATATTATAGGAGGCAGGTAAAGTAATACTTAAAGGGAAATTTATAACTTTAAACATCTGTGTCACAAAAAGAAAAGTCTGACATTGACATCCAAGCTTCAACCTTAAGAAACTACAAAAAAGAACCATATAAACCCAGAGCAAGCCAAAGAAAGGAAGTAATAAAGATGAAAGCAGAACATGATAAAATAGAAAACAGAAAAATAATAGAGAAAAATCAGTGAAACTAAAAATTTGGTCTTTGAAAAGATCATTAAAACTGACGAACCTTTAGCTAGATTGACCAAGAGAAAAGAGAGAAGATACATATTAGCAAACTCAGAAATGAAGGAGAGGACAGCACTATGGCCTCTACAGATTTAAAGGGATTATAAGGGAATGGTGTCATCAATTTTATGCCACCAAATTAGGCAATTTAGATGCAATAAACAAATTCCTATAAAGATACAAATTATCAAAACTGACTCAAGAAGAAACAGAAAATCTGAACAGACCTATAATAAAGAAATTTGAATTAATAATATAAAATATTTCCATAATGAAAAGCCTGGACCCAGATGATTGCACTGGTGAATTCTATCAAATGTTTATGGAAAAAAACACCATCAATCCTTCCCATATTCTCTCAGAAAATAAAGGAGGAAGGAACACTTACTAACTCATTCTATAAGGCCAGTATTATCCCAATACCGAAGCCAGACAAAAACATATTAAGAAAAGAAAACTATAGACCAATATCCCTCATGAACATAGACGTAAAAATTCTTAACTACATACAGAAGGTTCCCAAACTACAGTGGTTCAACTTACAGTTTTTTGACTTTATGTTTGTGCGAAAGCAATGTGCATTCAGTTGAAACCGTACTTCAGGACTTGAGATACTGAGGTTTGATCTTTCCTGGGGCTGATAATATGTGGTACCGTGTTCTCCTGTGATGCTGGTCGGCGGCGGCAAGAGCCACAGCTCCCGGTCAGCCACATGATCCCAAGAGTAAGCAACTGACATACTTATCACCGTTCTTTCCCCGTACAGTCATCCTATTTTTCACTTTCAGTACAGTATTCAGTAAATTACACGAGGTATTCAACACTTTCTTATAAAACAGGTTTTGCATTAGACAATTTTGCCCAACTATGGGCTAATCTAAGTGTTCTGAGCGCTTAGTTTAAAATAGGCTAGGCTGGGGCGCCTGGGTGGCTCAGTCGTTGAGCGTCTGCCTTCAGCTCAGGTCATGATCCCAGAGTCCTGGGATCGAGCCCCACATCGGGCTCCCTGCTGAGCGGGGAGCCCTCTTCTCCCTCTCCTTCTCTCCCCCTGCTTGTGTTCCTGCTCTCGCTATCTCTCTGTCAAATAAATGAATAAAATCTTTAAAAAAATAAAATAAAATAGGCTAGGCTAAGCTATGATGTTTGGTAGGTTAGGTGTACTAAATGCGTTTACTATTTTTTTAAGATTTTATTTATTTGAGGGGGGGCAGAAGGAGAGAGATAATCCTCAGACTCCCCACTGAGCACAAAGCCCAGTGCGGGGCTCGATCCCACAACCCTGAGACCACGACCTGAGCTGAAACAAAGAATCGGATGTCCAACCAACTATACCACCCAGGTGCCCCTAAATGCATTTTTCAACTTAACTGTGTCTTCAACTTATGATGGGCTTATTGATATGTAACCCCATTGTAAGTCGAGGAAGAGCTGTATTAGCAAACTGAATCCAGCCACCTGTAAAAAGGATTATATACCATTACCAAATGGAATTTATCCCAAAAACGCAAGGTTGGTTTAACATCTAAAATCAGTTAACGTAAGGCACTAAAATTGATAATAGAATAAAAAGACAAAACTTTTTGGCATAGTACAACACCCATTTATCATTAGAAATCTCAACAGAGTAGGAACAGAAGGGAATTTTCTCAGCCTGATAAATAGCATCTAAATCCACAGCTAATGTCACACTTAATGGTGAAATTGAATGTTCTTCCCCTAAGACTGGGGACAAGGCAGTGAGGTTCTGCTCTTGCCACATCTATTCAACATTATACTTATACTGAAGGTTCTAAGCCAGTACAATTAGACAAGAAAAATAAAAGGAGACCATACTGGAAAGGAAGAAATAAAACTGTCTTACATGACATGATCCTATATGTAGAAAATCCCAAGGAATCCACAAATTAATTAAGAAACAGTTTCATTCAGGGCATGTGGCTGGCTCAGTCAGTAGGCCATGTGACCCTTGATCTTGGGGTTGTGAGTTCGAGCCCCATGGTGGATGTAGTGGTTACTTAAAAATAAAATCTTAAAAAAATACAATTTCATTCACAGTAGTATCAAAAAGAATAAAATAGTTGAGTATAAATTTAATAAAGTGTAAGACTTTTTATCATGAAAAGTATAAAACATTGCTGAGAGAAACTATAGATCTAAACAATATGAAGAACATTACATGTTCATGGTTTGGAAGACTCGTTATTGTCAAGATGGCAATTCTCCCCAAATTCAAAATAATTCCTATCTAAATCCCAGCAGGTTTTTTAAAATAAGAAACCACAAGGTGATTCTAAAATTCACAAAGAAATGCAAAAGACCTAGAATTTTAAAAGAACTAAGGTTGAAGACTTAGACTACCTCATTTCAATACTTATTATAAATCTGTGGTAGTCAGTGATATTAGGATACATGCAATATCGGCCCAAGGACAGGCATGTAGCCAATGGAACAAAATTAAGAATTTAGGGGAAAAACTCTTAACACTGATTGATAATTGATTTTCAACAAAGGTGCCAAGACAATTCAGTGGGTAAAAGATAGTATTTTCAACAAATTGTGCTGGGACAATTAGAAATCCACATGTAAAAAAATGGTATTAAATCCTAAACCATGGGGCGCCTGGGTGGCTCAGTCGGTTGAGCATCTGCCTTCGGCTCAGGTCATGATCACAGTGTCCTGGGATCGAGCCCCACGTCGGGCTCTCTGCTCAGCAGAAAGCCTGCTTCTCCCTCTCCCACTCCCCCTGCTTGTGTTCCCTCTCTCTCGCTGTGTCTCTCTCTGTCAAATAAATAAAATCTTTAAATCCTAAACCACACACAAAAAATAAGTCATAGACCCAACATGGGTCATAGACCTAAGTGTTAAGAGCTAAAACTGTAGAACTCTCAGAAGAAAAATAGGAGAAAATCTTTTTACCTTTGAGTTAGGCAGAATTCTTAGATACGACACCAAAAACAATCTATTAAAGAGAAAATGATGAATTTGACTTCATCAAAATTAAGAATTTCTGGTCTTTGAAAGGTGCTGTTAAGAGAATGAAAAGACAAGTTCCAGACTGGGAGAAAATGCTTACAAATCATAAATCTGATAAAGGACCTGCTTCCAGAATAAACAAGGAACTCCTAAAATTCATGTTAACAAAACAACCAAATTTTAAAGCGGGCAAACTATTGGAATAAACATTTTGCCTAAGAATATATTCTCGGGGCTCCTGGGCACGTGAAAAGATGTTGAACTTTATTAGTCATTAGGAAAGTGCAGTTAACAATATGAGATACCACTGGAATTATACTCACTAAAACGGCTGTGATTAAGAACGTGGACAGTACCAGGTGTTGGCAAGGATGTGAAGAAACTGAAGTCCTCGTAGAGTGCTAGTGGGAGTATAAAATGGTACAGCCTCTTTGGAAAGCAGTTTGACAGTTTCTTAGAAAGTTAAACCGAAACTCCCTATATGTCCCAGCAGTTCCACATCTAGGAATCTACCCAAGAGAAATGAAAACATTATTTCCATACAAAGGAATGTACACAGTGTTCATAGGACATTATTCCTAATAGCCAAAAATCAGGAATAGCCCAAATGTCTGTTGCCTGGTGAGTGAATAAAATAATTGTGGTAAATCCTCACAACGGACTGTTACTGAGCAATAGAAAGGATTGAAGTTCTGATACATGCTACGGCATGAATGAAGCTTGGAATCATCTTGTGAAGGAAAAGAAGTCAGACACAAAAGGCCACACACTGTATGATTCCATGTATATGAAATATCCAGAAAAGGTACATTTGTAGAGCCAGAAATGAGACTGCGGGGCTGGGGTTGAGAGTGGGGCTTAACTGCAAATAGGCACAAGGGAACTGTTCGGAGTGCTGGAAAGGTTCTAAAATTGGATTGTGGCGGTGGTGGCCCAGCTCTCTCAATTTACTGAAAATCACCCAATTGTACACTGATAGTAGGTGAATTTTATGGTATGTAATTTATATCTCAAAGCAATTTTTTTAAAAAGATTTTATTTATTTATTTGACAGCGAGAGCAGGAACACAAGCAGGGGGAGAGGGAGAGGGAGAAGCAGGCTTCCCATGGAGCAAGGAGCCCGATGTGGGGTTCGATCCCAGAACCCTGGAATCATGACCTGAGCTGAAGGCAGATGCTCTCAAAGCCATTTTTAAAGGAATTTTCTCACTCTCTTGTGGTTTTTATGTGTGTGTGCTTAAGTTTTGAGAGCTCTTCTAAATCCTGATGCAACAAGGATTGATTTGTTTACCTTGTCTCATAAATGCTCTGCTTATATATTTTAATTTCCTCTGTCTCATTAGAATGATAGTTTTTAAAGAAATACCTGTATACATGTCTGCCTTTGTTTCAGATGCATTCTTCCAACACCTCCCTGTGTTTCTCAATTCCATCCAGAAGGCTCTTGAGTTCATCCTGAGTTGAAGTTTTACCATTCATTCTGTCACTGGTCTTGTCCTTAACAAATTTCTTTTCAGGAGGATAATGGCTTTTAGAAACCACAGCATGGAACAGTTTTTATGTGCTTTTAATGTCCTTTGGTAAATTCTTTAACACATTTTCCTGATGAGAATTAAAGTCTTATTTTTTATTGTTTTTTGTTTTTTCATTTGGGTAGAGTTGATATATATTAGTTTCAGGTGTACACAGTCTTATTTCTGAAATGCCCCTTGGTTTTAATTGTATGCTTATCTTTTTCTTTGAAACTAGAATATGCTTCTCTGGGATCACTCTATGATTACATTAACAGTAACAGAAGTGAAGAGATGGACATGGATCACATTATGACCTGGGCCACTGATGTAGCCAAAGGTAATAAAGCTTCCTGTATTCTTACAGAATTGGTGGGGCATGTTTTCCCTTCGTGACATGGTGACTTAAGGTTGAAGATTTGTTACTCTTTTTTAGACTATAACTAGCAAGAATTCTGCAACTTTCTGTACAGATTATTTTATTTTATTTTATTTTATTCCAGTATAGTTATATAACAGTGTTACATTTGCTTCAGGTGTACAATATAGTGATTCAACAATTCTGTATATTAGTCCTCATCACAACAAGAGCACTCCTTAATCCTCTTCACCTGTTTCACGACCCGCCTCCCCCCCCAACCTCGCCTCTGGTAAACATCTGTTCTCTATAGTTAAGAGTCTTTTCTTGGTTTGTCTCTCTCTCATTCTCTCTCTCTCTTTTTTTGGGGGGGTGGGGGGGTTTATAGATATTTTAAGTCACTGCCTATCCACTCCTGCATTCCTTTTCTTTCTTCACTTTCTTTTTTTTTTTAAGATTTTATTTATTTATTTATTTGAGAGAGAGAGAGAAACATCATGAGAGGGGAGTGGGTCAGAGGGAGAAGCAGGCTCCCCGCTGAGCCAGGAGCCCGATGTGGGACTTGATCCCAGGATTCCGGGATCATGACCTGAGCTGAATACAGTCGCTTAACCAACTGAGCCACCCAGGCGCCCTCTCTTCGCTTTATTTCTTTCCCTAAAACTAAGTTCTAACAAAATCAGTGATTTTCACGGAAATCAGTAAAAACAATAAAAAATAAGACTTTAGATTCTCATTTGATTCCAGAAATCAAAGAATGAATAATTCATTTCAAAGCCATTTTTGCCACATTTTGTGACATTGTAATTGACCAGCCTCCTTGACACATTAAATGGAAAGCTCATAATTCTGTTGTTCTGCAAGTCTCCACTTAGACTCAGTACCCAGAAAAAGTGATTTATTGTAGGATTAGTCCTACTCAATTTGTGTACATAATAATATGGTAAAAACCGTAACCACTTTGAAAAAAAAGTTTTATTTGCCCTGCCATGTGAAAGCAATTCAGATTTTATTTTCTATTTAATGTAAACTTGGAAATCACCCTGGAAATGAAATATTTTTAATACACAGAACCCCTAAACAAGGTGCCCAGTTCTTTTTCCCTCATAAATTCCGGCATAGACTAATGCTTTCTAAGGCAATTTAAATTCCATTTATTTTTATCTTTTTTTTTTCCATTTTCCTAACTGAAGATTTCTGAGTTTTATTTATAACTGTCAAAGTTGCTTTGGAAACAGCTTAATCTAAATAATGAACACTGTTAGTTACATTTGTATTCTAGCAACCCCTAGAAAGCAAGTTGTCCAGATTTTACCAGGGCAATTCACTCCTTTGCATTTTGCTCCTCCAATCTCTACAAGCATCTCTTTACAGATCAAGTCAAAGGATATTTAGCGCTCAGTAAGGAGAGCAACTCATACTTGGCTTTCACTGGGAAGTCATACAGTGATTTCCAAAAGTAACAGTCTTTCCTTTGGGGAATTTTCTTGTCAGTTTTAAGTTTCATCAACACCTGCCAAATTCTTCAAATAGGGAAAGTGAAAAAAAATTTTTTTTTAAATTTCATGCAAAATGCTGCTGCTGAACGATACTTCATTACCTTATAAGAATAATAAGCTCTATGTTTAGGATGGTGTACTTAAGGCTTTGGCTGTGTTAATTAACTTAATTGTGTATTCATGATCAGGCATTTCAAATCAGACTTAAATTCTCGCATTCTTCAAGACATTTTCGTGTAACATCATAGTCAAGTCTGTAGTATGCAGGAACCACCTGTTTGTAAGCCGGGAGCCGCGAGAAGCATTGTGGAAGTACACTTCCATAAATGTAAATATATATCCCAGCAGTCTTCGACTGAACGCACTTCACCTTACAGACATTTGCATTTAGGGTGCTTAGCCAATTACACCCATGTTATTAGTTAATGGCACTTAGGATAGATAGACAGCAAACAAATCAACTGACATCAGTCACTCTGCTTCCTGCTGTGCACACGCTCCAGAAGCTTCCTTGGGACCCCCGTTCCCCGGGCCTGGGCTGGGCCTGTAAACCTTGTCCCTCCCCGCCCTTCCCCAGTGCAGTCCCTGTCTGAGGGGCAAGTCCCTTGGCTGCAGATCAGCTCAGTTATTCCTGGGCTTTCTCAAGCCCGCTGGCACTCTATCAGAAGGACAAAGAAGAGAAAGAACAGGGCTAATGAAGTAGCAGACTGGAACTCCAGGTAAATAGGGGAGGGGGAAGTGAGAGAGGGCAGGGGACCGTGTGCCAAACTGCAGCGCAATAAAATCACCTTCTTGTGGCTGCGGAATTGCCCTGAGAGGCAGGTTCGAATGTGTTTGGCCCCAGGTGAGAAGAGTGAGGCAGAGAAGAAACTTACTTATTTATAGTCATGAGTAACACTATTTAAAATGGCCTATAAAAGGAAGAAGAAATCAGTGCTTTCAGAATGAGTTCAACTCTCTCTGGCAGAGCTGTGCACAGAACTCGGAGATGAAGTAGGAAGCCTTGATTTTTGTTGATTCTGTGTCCCATTCAGCTCTGCACCTCTCAGTCTGACCGTGATGGAAGACACTGGAGCAACAAGATGTTGAGAAATCAAAGAGTGAATAATTCATTTCAAATAAGAGTTGATTCATGCATTTTGAAGTAGGCATTGCTTAACATCACTGCCGAGAGAATACCTCCTCAAAGCCAAAAAAAAAGAGAAAAAGGAAAAAAAAAAGCCCTTCTCCTTTCTGGGTAGAAAGGGATGTGGAGGGCGGACCAGCAGGTACATCTAAAAGTCTTGTGAGTCCCTCCCCAGTGTGTAAGCGGAACAGTTCAAGCAGGTGCACCGGGATCCAGTCTCAGAAGGGTCCTCACTGATTACCCGTCTCTCCTGAATGACACCAGTCAAATTTTTTATTTTAGGAACCCTGAATCTTAAAACTGATGATGGTGGGGTTTTTTTTAGCCTTCTTCATTGTTTGCAATAAAAATAAGGCAGAATTATGGATGGCTCCATAAAAACAAGTTAAACAGACTTTTCTATGATTGTGATTACTACTGTGTTTATGCACACTAAATATAAAAGCATACTATACATTATACCCAAATAACTTAGTTTTTTTTTTCTCATAGTATCTGCCATAAGGAAGAAAATGCCTCTATTTAAAGCTTTAGTCCCTGAGTGTTGTTTTTGGAATTCTTTACTTGTCAGCCAGTGTAGACCCTATCTAGCCCTTCCTCTAATGGTAATTAAACAGATTCTACCTGACTTTAGTTCTTAAGCAAGAAAGAGGTAACTATGAAATTCAGTCCTAGAAGTTATTAAAAGTTATCCAGGTTGTAGCTATTGAATCTTCAGTGTGTAGTACGTAGAACTTTGTGTTAGAAGAATGCTCTCCTGTATTCTAGCTATATCTTAAGATCGCTAAAATTACTGATACTTTTGTAAATGGGACTCTTTCCCGTCATGTCTTTGTATCTCAGGAGTTTAAATTTTTTAATTTTCTTTGTTCTTACAGGACCTTCAATATCTAAGAATCAGAATGGTAGAAAAAGAATAGATTATTTTTAAAAATTAGCCTTTATAAAATTGAAATTTTCTGTATGCTCAGAAAAAGAACCAAAGCCTACTTATTACATGTAATGGATAGTTCATTAACAGAAGGAGCTTGTTTGGTTGTGGCAGTGGGGAAGCTGTTTCTTCCATTATTTAGAAAAGACAACTTGAGAAGTAAAGGGAAAGGAAATAATATATTTCAATAGAAAATGTTCCTTTGTTTTATCCTGAGGGGGTATACAATACATAAATACAGAAAAAGAGTCAAATACTACTAAGAGGATCACTATGAAATATGTCTTTTAAAGTATAATTTTAAAATATAATATTTTATTCAAAATAATAAAACTATATACATTCAATTTACTGAAGTAACTTGATACACATTCTCAATTTGTTGGAGAGAATTTTGGAGTGCATTTAAATATAGATTATCCCAAAGATTCATCCTTGTAAAGAGAATATTTTGTAACTACTGTAAATTTTTCTGAGGATCATAAAGCCCTTTACCAACCACAATTTATGAATCCAACCAGTTCCCTCCCCGCTCCACCTCTCCCAAGGTCTTACTGGAATGAGTACTGAGAAAATAAACCAGGCTGCAACTGGGTAGCTGCAGACATCCAAATGAAAGCTGAAAACCTTGGTCAGAGCTTTGGCGGATCTAGAGCGCAACTGGTAGTGGAATACCTTAGTCATTGGAGCACTTCTTTCAGTTGTAACTGGCTGTTTTTGTGCAGACGCCAGAAAAGGTGTCCTTATTAAGTATTGTAATAACTTTACCCACAATCAAATTCTAACTTCTAAGAGATTAAAGCACATGAATTTTCCTTAGCATATAAATTTTCCTAATGTAGACATATCCTGTCTCTATTTTATCAATCATGTAAGAATAGAACATAAGAATTTAGTTTCTGCTACTAAATCCTTTGCAAAAATATGAAAGGTAGTACTGATGTTTTAAAATAGAAAGTTAATACTAATGCAATGTTGGAAAATGATATTAAAAGCCTTTCTTCCTTCTTGTATGAAAAGGAATGCACTATTTACATATGGAGGCTCCTGTCAAGGTGATTCACAGAGATCTCAAGTCACGAAATGGTAATGTAGTCCTATGTTTTTATTTTACTTATTTTATTATGAAATACGTACACCTTGTTATAGAAATAGGCTCATGTTTTTCATATCTTTTGTACCCTGATGTTTTGACTCATCACTGATACCATGAAAATCTTTCCATTGTTAAATATCAGAATTCTTTGTTATTTCAAGGAGCTGCATAGTATTCCATTGTATCAGCACAGAATGTGGACATTTGGGTTATTTACATTTTTTTCTATGATAAAAAATGTTGAGCTTGATATTTCTTAGCAAAAATTTTTAACACATCTTTAATTATTTCTCTAGAATCACTTTCTAGAAGAGGTATTGCTAGATCAAAGCATGTAGTCATATACTTCTAGTCTCCTATTTTTAGATGGTTCTCCGTACTAGCAGTTTTGAGTTTTGTTCTTTTTACTTCTGAATTATTTGGTGTAAACTTTTTATGTCTGTCATTTTACCTGGTGTTGTGCCCAAAAATGATCAAAACATTTCAGAGTTTGGAAAGCAAAGGCTTTCTTTTTCTTCTTTCTCTTCTTCTGTACTCTCTAAAGTTTATTTATGATCTTATATTTTTTAATTTAGAAAGTGAGCATTTTAAAATGTCTCGCAGGATTAGACATTATTACTTTTCAGTAGGGAGGTAACAGAATGCTTCTCCTATTATGTCACTTGGAAGTTAATGGACAAAGGCAGTGAGTGGGATTATTTAGCTGGCCCACACTAGCTAAAGTAAATGTTAGAGCTTGCCACTTAAAAAAAAAAAATCTTGCTGTCAGTTTATTTACATGTTTTACTTATTTACATGCTTTCTAAGTAATTCTTCTAAGTAAGGAGGAAGAGAACTAATTTTTTTTAAATCTTTCAATCACTGCAATTAAAATGGGTGCATGCTAAGAGTGTGATCCTTGCAGTGGGTGGTCGTGGTAAGTGGAGGAAGAGAAGCAGGGGCCCGGCCGGCTGTCCTTGCTGGGCCTCCGGGACCATGAGGTCTGTGGGGTGGAGAAAGGGAAGTTCTTGGCGGCTGCCACTCATCAGTCATCCGGGTTGGACCACCAGCTCGACCCTACCCGGCATCTGGGGCTGACTGTTCTCTCCTTTGTCTAGGTCATCACTTATCCTTTGGCTCTTCATAGACATAAACTTCCTGGAGCTAAACACTTTCGAGATGAGTTGGCTAACAGGAAGTTGTTAGGAAATAATTTAGAATCTAGTAGGAAGTATCAGAATCTTACGACTATAGATTTTTAGTTCATGCTCAGAATTTCAATCCACACAAGTTACTTGACTTCTCTTTTTTAAATCTGTTTTATCAGAATATCTTGAATATCTCATGGGATGAGAATGATTAAGTTACAGATTTATCCATGCTCTCATTATGAAAACTAAGTAACAATGGAGACTGTCCGGATTTTTACAAATTACAATTTGTGCAGTTACTTGATGGGAAAACACCTACACATTGAAAAAATATTGACCTAACTTTTAGCAATTTTTTTTTTTGGTTCTGAAATGGAATAACAAGACTCTTATTTTCTATGTTATATGTTTTTATGTTAGGTTCTTTTTTAATGAAGCACTTGTTAATCTTATAATGAGAAAAAAGAAGTAGAGGTATTTTTAAAAAGTAACTGAATATGGTATTAACAGTATTTCTATCTTTATTTGAAAAAATTGGTAGTTTATATATAGTATCACATTTACCCTTAGGCTATTTCATGCAAAGAGTCTATTTTCCCCACTTACCAAGGTCATTAGTAATAGCTCAGTAAGAATTGATCAGCTAGTGTGTTCAGGGCGCTGTGTGGCTTACAAAAGAAATGCCAGGGGGCACCTGGGTGGCTCAGTCAGTTGCTTCCAACTCTTGATTTCGGCTGGGGTCATGATCTCAAGCTTGTGAGATGGAACCCTCCATCAGGCTCCGCGCTCAGTGCGGAATCTGCTTGAGATTCTGTCTTTTCCTCTGCCTCTCCCCCTGCTTGCTCATTCACTCTCTCTAATATAAATGAATAAAATATTTAATTTAAAAAAAAAGGAAAGAAATGCCAGACGGTTCTTCAAGGTCTACCTTGGGTCTCCTCGCCTCTTCTCCTCTTATTTACCCACTCCCATAAAAGCCCCATCTGCATATTAGCACTCCCAGACAGAGCGTAGCTGCAGAACCACGTGTCTGTCTGCTTAGTGGGAGAGGCCACATAGATATTTGTATGACCCTAAGATATATCATGTCCCCATTGATCTTGTCATTTCCTCTCTGCCCCCCAAAAGTTATTTCTATATTCCTTTTCTCCATGAATGGCAATACCAATTGCCTAAGCCAGAAATGAGATAAAAAGGAACAGTTTGATTGCAGAGATCTTGCTCTAATCATTATGCTGTATTGCCTCGTTATTTGATTTCATCCTTGAGTCCTCCCCCCCATTGCTTAAGTCCAGTTGATTTGGCCTCCTAGATGTTTTTTTTTTTTCTTTCTCTTTCTTTCTTTCTCTTTTTTTCTTTCTTTCTTTCTCTCTCTTTTTTTCTTTCTTTCTCTCTCTCTCTCTCTTTCTTTCTCTCTCTCTCTCTCTCTTTCTTTCTTTCTTTCTTATTCATTAATTTGAGAGAGAGTGTTCCAGTGAGGGAGCACAAGCAACGGGAGGGGTAGAGGGAGAGGGAGAAGAAGACGCCCCACTGAGCAGGGAGCCCGATGTGGGACTCGATCCCAGGACCCTGGGATCATGACTTGAGCCAAAGGCAGACGCTTAACAACTGAGCCACCCAGGCACCCCCCCATTTTTAAAAAAAATATTTTAGAGAGATACAGTATGTGAGCAGGGGGAGGGGCAGAGGGAGAGGGGAGGCAGACTCCCCACTGAAGGTGGAGTCCAACGCAGGGCTCCCATAACCCGTGAGATCATAACGCATGAGATCACAACCTGAGCCAAAACCAAGAATCCAGCGCTAAACCAACAGAGCCACCCAGGTACCCCTGATTTGGCCTCCTAAATGTTTCTTGACTTGGTCCACCTCTCCTATTCTGTGCCACAGCCTTTGTCTGGGCATCCTTTTGTCCTTTGGACTACAACCACTTGGGTGCACAGTGATCTCCTTGCCTCCAGTTCTGTTCTTCTCTCATATGCTCTCCCCTCTGCACATTTGACCATTTCATTTCTCTGCTTAAAATTGTTCATTGGATTTCCATTTCTCACAAAGGCCCTCCCGGACCAGGCCCCTGCCTTCCAAAATTGCCTGCATTTCCCTCTGCTCCTGACCTTCTGCAAGGGTCTTTTTTCTGCCTAGAAAATGCTGTCCTCCCGCAGCGCTTCTCTGTCTGGTTAGTCCCAGCATGTTCTTCAGGTCTTAGTGTGAGCACCATTTCTTCCAGAAAACTCCTGCTGACCTCCTTAGACTTAGATACCCCTGCTCTTTGATTCCAAGGCAATCTCTGTGTCTCTCATCATAGAATTTATCCCACATAATTATATATTTTAAAAAATTTTTAAATGTTAATTCCAGTATAATTAACATACAGTATTATATTAACTTTAGGTGTTATCCCATTTGATTATAGACATTGGTTTCAGTGTCTCTCCCATGAGACTGTAAGCTCCACAGGAGCAGAGAAAAGCCAGTCTTGCTCACCTTCCTCTTCCAGAACATAGTACATTGCCTCGCCCATAACAGGTGCTTGGCAAATATTTGTTAAGTGAGTGAATGTATGAATAAGTGAATGAATGAATGTTGTCCCTGCCTACAAGAGAATCACTCTTCAGTTAGGAGGAAAGATAGATACCAGGAAGTGGTAATTGCTAGTGACGTCCTCAGTACCACGCTGGCAGAATCGTGGCAGAACCCAAGTAAAAAATTTGGTTCTTGGGGTGCCTGGGTGGCTCAGTCAGTTAAGCATCTGCCAGTCAGGTCATGATCCCAGGGTCCGTCCCACAGCGGGCATGGGGAAAGAGAGAGAGAGAGCATGAGCATGGGGAAGGGACAGAGGGAGAGGGAGAAGAGACTCCCCACTGAGTGGGGAGCCCGCCATGGGATACTGAGGAGGTCACTAGCACTCTCTTTCTCTCTCCTAAATAAATCAATAAAATCTTTAAAAAAGTGTTGGTTCTCTTTACTGCTACTAAGCTGTGCCATTTTTACAGGACCTTAGTACTACATTTGATTTAAACAAATATTTCGAAAGCCTTTTAGTCAGTACCTCATGGAATTAGTTTTTTGTTCTTGTTTTAAAAGCTTCAGTGCAGTAAATACTTCAGTTTTACCTTTCATATGCCATATGGAAAATAGAAGTAGAAGTTTATGGGTTTTTTTTGGTATAAGATGACTCAAATTAGATGATTGTCATAATTTTTTTCTTTCTTTTTTTTTTTTTTTTAGTTGTTATAGCTGCTGATGGGGTATTGAAGGTAGGACTCCTTTTAATTTTTTTCAAAAGTATTTGTTAACTTCAGATGTAAGTTTTTGTGACAGATAATTCTTTTATTAATCAGTGGTTGAAGGTTGATACTTGTTTCTCTTTTCTCAGATATGCGATTTTGGTGCCTCTCGGTTCCATAACCATACAACACACATGTCCTTGGTTGGAACTTTCCCATGGATGGCCCCAGAAGTTATCCAAAGTCTCCCTGTGTCTGAAACTTGTGACACATATTCCTATGGTGTGGTGAGTTCATTTCTAATTTTTTTTTGTTGCTCAGGGAAATCTAAAAAAGCAAACACCTCCAGGAGTGGGATACAGCAATTTAACACAGTTTTAAGACAACGATGCTGTTTCCGGTGGAATGCCTAGAGCAATGGCCACAGACAGAACACTTCCTAATTGCCAGAATGTTCATTTTGATCACTTTTCTGCATCCGAGTTATTTTGTCCTGTGTTGAGAAGAAACCAATGCTACTTCCAAAGAGCAATTAGATGGAATCTAAAATAATGCCGGGCCTGACGCACTCATGTGGAGAGTGCTTTCCTGGGCTGGACGCACGACTGTGGAGTATCCGTGTTAAGTCAGTGGAAACGTGGGTCATCTGGAACAGGACTTCACTGTAGTAAGTTGCTCAAAACACACTAGGTCTGCCCCATGAGTGAATTACAGGAGATTTTTGAATGTCAACTATTAAAATGATTAGTGAGTTTCCGGAGAGTACAGAAGAAAACGTACTTAGCTTTTATGGCCTTGTCCAAGCCTGCTGCCAGTCTTATAAAGTAGTGTGACTCTCTGAGGCGTGACTCTAAGGTATGTAAAAATCACAACAGAGCAGCACAGAGGGGAACAGGATAATGTGGGGGTGGGGATGCTCAGGGAATGGAGCCACAGGAAAGACTCCCTTAAGGAGCAGAAGCTTCTGGAGGAAGGGTTTTGAGGTGGATCATTCTTGAGGAATAAGCAGAGGGAAAGAAGTAAGTGGAATGGGGGAACAGTAGGGTGGGAGGGGAAGAAGGGCACGGTGGTTCTTTGGTGGTAGAAGGAATTTATTTGTTGTTTTTTATCCTTAAAAATACTGTGTATCTTTTAAAAAGTCCGAAGTAGTATTTGACACTCCTTCTCTTAGGGTCTCATCTCTCAATCATACTAATCTCTATATTTATATTATTACTCTTAAAAGGAAATTTTCATAATAACGGGAAAAGGAGCAGACTGATTTTGGCCCAAACCCCCATGCCTCCTCTTCCCGGACTTCTGTGGTTTCTATTGAAAGTGACAGCTGATGGCCCAAGAGGAGACCTGCATTGTCACATGTATTCCTGATTCTCTAGAGGCCATCAGCCTCTCGGGATTTACTGCTGGCTTCATTACTTAAGTCTTGGGCTTGTTTTCTTTGGCAAACTTTTTCTAAATTATAATATATCTTATGTGTACCAAATTAATTATTTTTTTAAAGATCTTATTAGAGAGAGAGCACAAACGGGGAGCGGCAGGCAGAGGGAGAAGCAGGCCCTCCGCTGAGCCGGGAGCCCTACTTGGGGCTCGATCCCAGGACCCTGGGATCATAACCTGAGCTGAAGACAGATGCTTAACTGACTGAGCCACCCAGGTGCCCTACTAAGTTAATATAATAGAGATGAATTTTATTGGCTGTTGGAAAAAGTCATTACAAGAATGAGATATGTGCTTTTAGCAAAAGGCTAGAATTTTATTTTTTTAAAAGATTTTATTTATTTATTTGACAGAGAGAGGGAACACAAGCAGGGGGAGTGGGAGAGGGAGAAGCAGGCTCCCCGCTGAGCAGAGAGCCTGATGTGGGGCTCGATCCCAGGACCCCGGGACCATGACCTGAGCCAAAGGCAGATGCTTAATGACTGAACCACCCAGGCGCCCCAAAAGGCTAGAATTTTAAAGGTTGGAAGACAACAGTAGCTTCAGGCTAAAAATCTCATTTCCCTTAATTCTGGGTATTTCTAAGACTGAAGGCTATAAACTACTATAGACAGCGATCAAATAAGTCTCATTGAAAGATGGGGAAGAAACATAAGTTCCTGAAGAGGCCTGATTCTAAAACTGTTCTCTGTGTCAAAAGTTACTACATTCTGACCATCCTACCAATCACCTGCTGGGGAGGTCTGAAAATGGGGGAATTTGTTGCAATTTCAGACTTTAGTGAGATGTTTTCTCTTAGGAAGTTATGTACCTTCATTTTTAAGCACCAGTGTGTTTATCGTGTCAGGCAGGGTGTTAGACACGGATGCGGGTAATGTAAATTGGACTTCACCTGCTCATTGGGACCAGTGTTCTATCCTGTGGAACAGGAACAAGCAAACTGTTTCTGTAAAGGACCAGAGAGTAAATATTTGAGACCTTGAGGCTCACTAGGAGTCCCCATTGTGTATTCTTTTGTTTTTTACAACCCTTTACAAATGGTAAAACCACTGTGCGCTCCGCAACAGGGCTCAGTCCACAGAGAAAGCTGTGTGGAGCTGGAGGGAGGGAAAGGAAGCCTCAGGGCTGGAGTAGGTCACAGTGAGTCAGCAAGAGACCACACTTCTCACACTCTCACTTGCCTGTGCATATAGATACACACACACATATTTAGGCTGTTATAGTTTTTAAATTATTTTTGCATATGAACTAGGAAACTTTAGAGGCTCATTTTAGCACTCCCCAAGCTCTGGTATAGCACTTGTACTTTGAAAATTCTCCCCAGTTCTTGGACTTTTCCTATCTCAGAAATGTTTGATCTGAAAGACAACTATGGGTTCCAGATAGAGTGAACTTTTGGTTTCAGTATATCTCACTTATGAAAACAAACCTCACACCGCTTCCTTCTAGAACCTTTCCGAACCAGGGGCCAGAGTAGAATCTCAGTCCCAGTAACCAAGGACCAATTCATTTTCACAGGCAAACTATCAAAGATATTAGTGACTTCCATGTCTCCTATATCTTTTTAAATCCTTTTCACTCATTCCTCATCGACCCCCTCATGTTAAACATACTTTGAATCAACCTTTCTGAGGCTGCAAATGTTGTTTACATTATTAAGAAGCTTTTCTTTCAAGTAACTGTGCGCAACCTCTTAGTAGATGGGCCTGAACATTTCTATTGGTGAATGAGGTTTTCTCTGGACTTGTTTACTGACCCTTCGTTCTGTTCTGAGGGATTTAACAAATGCTTAACAAATCATTCCATCAAGTAGTTTCACTTACTGTCGCAAACTCGATAGCCACTCACTGAACATTTGCAGTGTCATTTGATATTTACACACTGGATGCTGCTCTGCAGGACCTGTCCGCCCCAGTCACCTGCTTCTGCGGTCAGGTTAGAGGCTTCTTTTGACTGGTGGAAACAAAAATGCCTTTCCAGTGACTCTGTTTGTTTTAAAACAGTATCTTAAAGAGAAAGGTTTACTTGGAATTCTGGTTATGCTCAACCCATAGCTGTATCAACAGAGTTCCACTCAAAGTTGCACATAGGGGCTCCTGGGTGGCTCAGTCGTTAAGCATCTGCCTTCAGCTCAGGTCATGATCCCAGGGTCCTGGGATCGAGTCCCACATCAGGCTCTCTGCTCCGCGGGAAGCCTGCTTCTCTCTCTCCCACTCCCTCTGCTTGTGTTCCCTCTGTTGCTGTGTGTCTCTCTGTCAAATAAATAAATAAAATCTTTAAAAAAAAAAAAAGCCCTACATATAAAGTTGCACATAAACCAGTTGAATTATAAATGAGAATTCAAGATTTTATTTAATACTGACCCCTTCCCATTATGTTCTAGATAAACACCATTTAGTGAAAGAAATAGTACAAGGCATGCTTTCCAGAGCTTTTTGTTTAAACAATCACAAATTTTTGAAAAATAAAGAAAGCACTGCATGGTCAAAGTAGTTATTACCTAAAAGAGCAGGAGAGAATGGTTGTTAAGGTAGGGGCATGTTAGTTTTAGAACTTTGTTGTCCAAAGACTGAAAATAATACTCACCTAGGAAAGCAATGTGGTTATTTAGAATTTTTAATGTCCTTTCAATAATAGGTGAGTAGCCAGGACCATTTGTCAGTACAGTATCTCTTGGCATAAAACATCCCATAGTTCATGAAGGGTCCATTCTGTTCATTGTGCCTACACACACACACACACACTCTCTCTCTCTCGCAGATGAATAAGACCCTAAAAAAGAGTGGTCCTTTTTTGAAACCCACCTCAAAAAAAACCACCTAATATATTTTTGCTTTTCATTTTTCTATTTTTCAGACTTGCTGTAAAAATTTAGCCCCTAGTATTATCGAAGTCCCTCACCCCCACAACTTGATAAACCTGTGTTGCTTCTTAACTCATGGCAAGACCAACCAGCCTTAGCCAGCCTTAAAATAAATGTGCTGTGAATGCCAGAAGTGGATCTTGTGATCCTTGCTTCTAAGCTGATAAACTTTGCTGGGCAGGCAGTTGTTTCTCTCTCCATTTTACAAGAGAGGAGATTGTGCTACCCCTTTACAGTGATCTCTCTTGAAGGACGGAACCAGAGGAGTGTTTAGTATGTTATCCACAAAAAAGAAAAGACTCAAGGAAAGCACAAATCATTGACAGAACAAGCCTTCTGAGAACACAAGGCCTAGCCACTCTTTAAAAACAAAGCTGTCCTAATGACAATGCAGAAAGGATTACCTTCCCAGAAGCTTCTGAGCCAGAACCACAATTTGAAGAGAGTGGCTTAGGAGTGAGCATCTGTGTGTGGCTTGTGTGTGAGCCCTGTTCCAGAACAATCCGGGCTCAGGTAATGGCTTGCCATTGTTTGTAAAAGAAAGGGCAGGAAAAGTACACAGCCTTGTCCAAGTTTCTCTGCAAACTGAAAATAGAAATTTTTCCTTGTGAGCACAGTTTAGACGTAAATACGTCTCAAGATAGAATGAGTTGGAAAGTATTTTTAAGGGGAAAGATCACAATAATGTTTGGCCTGCATTCCCGTCACTGATGTTTTCAGGCCTAGTTTAATATATTTTTAGACCTTCACATGACTTCCTCCACAAAGGACTGTGTTGTGCCGAGTGCCATTGTGTTTAGTGCAGAAACCGCTGTTGTCCTGTCTCATGGCGCCTGCTTTCTGCCACACTCCTGCACCTGGGGGATCGGTCACAGGGACTCCGTGCGCGCTGGCGCTGGGCTTATGCGGGGACTTCACGTGGCCCCAGCGGCGCCTGGGCCACGCCCGCGCCCCGCACGTGCGCCGCCCGCACGGGGCCCCTCGGCGGTGGTGGCTCGCCCGCAACCCGCACACGGATGAAAACGAAACTCTTATTTTTCCAGGGAAACAGAACTCAGACCTTAGTAGATTTGGGCTATTTTCCAACTGAATATTTGGGAATAAAGAATGACATAAATCTTTTTGTCTATCACTTCCCAAGCTCTTGGTTTTGCGTTTTACCTCGTAAAACCCAGCCAGCCTTTGTGTGTGCGCCTGCGCAGTGGGTTGTGCACGCAGCCCAGGGTCAGAAAGCAGGGGCGGGGGGCTGGAGGCCACCTCCCTGGACATTTTGGGGTCTGGAGCATTTGATTTATTTGAGGCTGAGTCACTGTTCCCTTTCTCCTTAGGAAGGCCAAATTCCTCAGTTTGCTTGCTCTGCATACCCCTCTGCCTCCCCAACCTCAGCACCAGGGGAGTGGTAATGGCGTGCAATGGAGGGGCTTCATTTCCTGCTCAGCCCTTTCGCTGCTCCATCCCTCTCCCCTGTGCGGGCAGGGTCTCAGGGGTGATTGCATACGTGGTCTGGTCCTCACGCTGCCTTTACTTACAGTGCTTGCTAGAATCATCCCCTTCTGGGATGCCCCTTACCTTTTCCTAATCACTTCTGGGACTCAAATAGAATTATTCAGTAGCTCTTCTAAAGAAGTACCTTACACACTTGATTAAAAGCCCAAAGAGGCTTCAGTGAATTTTTTTTCTCCTGCTTGAGCAGCATCTGCCAATTTCCCTGATTTTCCTGCTAATTAGCCAGAGTTCATTTAGCATGTTCTGATTCGAATATGACTGAGCACTGGCTGAGGAAACAGTGGATACAGAGTTAAAGGTTTGTAGGACCTGCTTGAATAGAGTACATGTTCTCAGTCTACATTCTTATTTAGAAATGGGTTTTTTGTTTTTAGAACAAGAGCAATCTAAATCAAAACTGCTGAATTCATTTGCTTCTCACCTCTGCCATGGCTCCACACCTGAAGTATGGCACGTCACATTCTCTCTCACTGCAGCCTCCCTACTCTAGACTTATGTCAGGTGAAGAGCTTGACCATTAGGGTGAGGCAGCAAGTTCATATTCTTGCTCTGCCACTTGATAACAGAGTGGTTGTGGGCAAGTTTATTTGACTTTCTGAAGCCTTAGTTTCCTCATCTATAAAATGAGGATCACTTCTCTTCGCTGGGATTGATATTAATCATGACAACACCTGTAAAGAGTTTAACAAAGTATCTGGAACATAATCACTCAGTAAATGATAGTCGTTGTTATGAATATTGATAAAATTATAATTGTTTTGCACTTCACAAAATATTGGTAGACTCAGATTTTGATGCCCATCTGTATAAATCGAGAAAGTTACCTGAATGTAAAAATCTCCATTACTTAGTATTTTAAATGAAACTCAAATCATTGGCTGTTTTCAGCATTCCTAGCATCAGTTTGCTTTCTTTGGGCATACCAGTGCAGATTTATTAATCGTGCTGATCTCAAGGATTGCAGAGAGATGAACACACACATACATTTCCCCCCACACACACACCTAGCCTATATATATGAACAAAAAGTGTTTATTATATTTTAGAACAGATAGTAAATTATGTTATAGGTGGAAGAAAATGACTCCCTTAGACCAACTCATTTTGAGAGAGCTTCCTCCAAAACACAAAATTTAAATGTTACAGTTCTGCAAGTACCTACCATTATGGGGTGAATGGTTTAGCCAGTGATTTGGATTTAGGGCTCAATATTTTTTATCAGACCATTACTGATCCTTTAAAAATACGGTCGAATTCCCAGTTACTATCTTATAGAGAAATTTATTGGTGATTGAAGGTAGAAAGAGTTTGACTAACAAAATATAAAACCTAATTTGTGGGAATCTGTGAGAATTCTAGCAACTTACAAGATAAATTATGTAGGCCCATTGGTTTCATAAGTCTGGCTCTAAATGTTCTGATTTCTAAACTAGTTTTTTTTCTTTATAAAAATGAACAAAAAATGAATGTATGTGTGTGTGTCTGTGTGTATATATATATAATGTATATATATATATATAATATGTGTGTATGTGTATATATATATATATATAATATTTGGAAGAAGTCCTAGGCATGAATATATATATGTTTTGTCCAAGTTTCTACAGGTGGGGTTGGTTTTGTCTGGTAATTGGATACAGTTAAGTGTTAGATAAAGTTTCAGTAATATACCAAAAATATAAAGTACAAGAATAAAAATTCCATTTTCTTTTTGTTCCAGGTTCTCTGGGAGATGCTAACAAGGGAGGTCCCCTTTAAAGGTTTGGAAGGATTACAAGTAGCTTGGCTTGTAGTGGAAAAAAACGAGGTAAGACTACGATTCTCCATTCAGGTACATAGATCAGAAAACAGTATTGGGGTTTTGCAAAAGACTTTTTCATCTTCTTCAAATTGAAAGTAAGTTCACGCTTATGGAAAGATTAGCAGTAGGAGCTAACACAAAGGGTCAAAGTGATGTTATTCCTCATGAATGGACCCTTTACATCTAATTGTTGCAGCTTCACGTCGTGATGCTGTAGATCAAAAATTGTACAAGTACTGTACTAGTTTCTCAGTCTCAATTGTAAAACCTAGGGGTTTGTTCTTAGTGATGAAAGAAGCCATTGCGTCCAAGGTAGGGGAACAGTTTAACTCCATCTCCTGCGTTTAGGACATCTTTTTTACTGGCCGGGAGTTGATATATCTGTAAGAGACCTTCAGCTACTTCAACTTACCTCTCCCAGCAGGAGTCACTATAGTACAAGAAACTGTCGCTTAGATGAGAATTTCAAAAATAAAAGAAGAAAAAATAGTTTCAAAAAAGGGAAAAATTACAGTTTTGCCACCTACGTTGAACACTACATTGAAGATGAGCTCCTCACTGGAATTGGCGAGGCAGTGGCGTAACTGTTCCCGTCTTCATGCAGAGCCTTTCCATTTCAAAAGAACTTCAGTGGCGTAAACACCGTTTGTGCTGTGTCCCCAGCCTCGCTTTTCTTCTTCCCACAAATTGAGGCTTTCAGTTAGTTGGACCTATGAGCCTACATCAGAGAACGTGGTACATTCATATCAAAGAGAGCAACTACATTTTGAAAGGCTTAAAATTGTGACTGAAATGCACAGGCATGGAAATCCTCAGCATAAGGATGAAGCATCCAGTATCAAGGTACTATGAGAACTTAGATCCGGTAATGGAAGCACGCAGTTGTCTTTGCAATGCAAAACAACCTTATTTCACAGAGCTTCATTTCCAGATCTGATCTGTGCGCTCTGCAGAAGGTAAGAGTGCAACCTGAGGATAAAATAATTTGCAAAAAGGTGAATACGTGGAGATATGCCCTTTTTAAGGCTATGAAAGAATTAGATTGATCTGCTCCCCATGTGAGTGCAGGAACAGACTGGATTAACCAAACAGCTGCTATTGACTAAGAGAAACCAAGTTTTCGTAGTTTAGATCACATAATCCCTCTACCTTATTAATTTGTCCTCCTGAGCTATTGAGAACAGATGAAATGTTCATGATAGCTGAACTTGATGGGAGAGAGCTGCCAATTTAAGAAAAAGCAAAAGGAGTTATATTCAAGAATGTGTCTTGCTCAGTGTTTCACAGGAGCTGTTCTGTTTTAATTAAGCGTCCTGGTTATTCCCGGTGTGCTATTAAATCAGACCCTCGTACACAGGATAACTGATATTTTCATGATAGGAGAACCCGCTTGTCTCTGTTCTATTTCTCTTGCCAGTGAGGTGATTAGATGTTTGGTTCTGGGTTTACAAATGGGAGTGAAGAAAACAATTGACCTAATGTTGACTTTGGAGTGGAACACTCAATGTAACCTTTTCCCCTCTACATTGTTCTAAGAAAAATTAGAAGAAAGTGTTTTAAAAGCTGACTGGACCCTCCAAATACGTATAAGAAAAAACAATATTTTAAAATAATATTTCATCTAAAGGATGGCAGAAGAGGTGCGCGTCTAAAGCACTTTCAAAACATGAGTATCCATCAAGGATGATTAAAGCAGACAAGAAAAATGAATTTAGAAGCTGCCTTTGGATAGCTGGCTTGGGGGCTGGAATCACCCATAAATAACCTTGAGAACTTCCTCAACATGTACAGGAGGAGGCTGTAAACCACCCCCCCGCCCTTTTCCTCAGGGATTCCCTGGAGTAGAACGTACTGTTTTTTCCGTGGTGTGACCTGATTGATAGTCGCCTAATAACCGATGGAGACCACTCAGATACCTCCCCTTCTGTACGCAGAATAGCAAGTTCAAGGAACCCCACATGGTGAAACAAGTTTTCTCAACTTTCTACTGAACTTAAGGAAAATTGGGTATTGAAGGCTACTTACCTGTCTACTCTCACTCTGCACAATATTTGTCAAAAATATGGAATTTAAGTTTAACTGTACTTTCCATTGTCATCATTCACAAAGGAGTCTTCATTTCATCTCATAAATGTAGACACGTATTACCAAAACAAATTCTGTTGACATAACATTAAAAGAATTGCCAAGTCTCAACTATATAGAACAAACTGAAGGGGTTGCTAGAGGGGAGGTGGGCGGGGGATGGGCTAAAGGGATGATGAGGACTAGGGAGGGCACTTGTTCTGATGAGCACTGGGTGTTGTATGGAAGTATTGAATCACTATATTGTACACTTGGGAAACTAATATACTGTATATTAACTAACTGGAATTTAAATGAAAACTTGGAAAAAATGGCCAAGGATTTATTTCATAAAAAAATTGAGACTCTGACTTAAAAATAATTTACAAAATCCTTTCAACTTCCAATTATTTCATTTATTTTTACTTTGGAATACCTTGGGTTCTTGAGTTGATAAGAGCAAGCTGGTTTTTTTTGTTTTTTTTTAACAGGCCTCATTTAAATAAAGAATGATGTGTTTAAACCTAGGGAGACATTTTAAATGTAAGCCAGTCACCCTAGAATGCACCTATATCCAAATATTAGAGTTACCTTTTCTTTCTAACTTTTTATTTTGAAATAATTATAGACTAACAGGAATTTGCAAAAATATTAGAAGGGATTCTGTGTACCTTCATCCAGCTACCCCCACTGGTGAGAAACAGGTATAGGCCAATACCAAAACCAGAAAGTTGACATTGATACATTACTCTTAACCAGACTCTCGACCTTATTCAGTTTCACCATTTAGATTGCTTTTTGGATCTATAGGAAGATCAATACGGTCTAAAAATATCTGAGGGTGTTTGCTTCTAAATGCTTAATATAATTTTTCCTAATAGTAAATCCCATTAAAACTAGATACATAAAGCACTGTTAAAGACTGAACCCTTTAGGAGGGTATTACTAATAAATTTTGTAATTTTTATAGACATGTATGTTTGTCTTCGTAATTTCTATAAAACTGAATTAGTGGTCATTCAAAATATTCTGACAGTATAATTTCTATCTTTACAAATACTTAGATTCTCATAAAATATGTTTTGTTCTAAGTAGCAAAACAATTTTTTTCTTTTAGAGAGCGCGCACAGGCACACATATACGGGAGCAGGGGGAGGGATGGAGGGAGAGAGAGAATCCTAAGCAGGCTCCCTCTCTCGGCCCTGAGATCATGACCTGGGCATTGTCAGTCACTTAACCAAAGTATTCTTAATAGGCGCCCCAAACTATTAACAGAAATCCTCAATCCATTGTTGACTACATTTTGGAAAAAAGATAATAAAAAATAATTGACAAAAAGTAATTTTTTGCATCTTATGTAGAAAATGGTGCAGAAAAAGAATATGCTTTTTAAAAAATGTCATGCCTAATTTAGTGGTTGGGAAATATTTTCATTTTAATTTTGGAACTTTTAAAATATTTAAGTTTGAACTAGTACGGCTAAATCTGTTGCTAATATCTGGTTATTTCGGGATGTTTTAATGCATTAAGAATGCCCACAGTTCTGTAAACAGGACTTAAATACTTCGGATTTTCTTTTAAAGTACTTTTTAATAAACCAAAATAAACCCTTACATTAGTGTCTGAGTCTAGATTTAACTGATATTTGACCATATGAGATGATCTAAAATAATTACGTCTTCTTTCATAATGTCTCAGATGCAGTAGCTAAGAAGTTTCTCAGTAAGAAAAGATGATAGAAAAGATTAACATCCATCCATATTCATCCAGGTCACATTTCAGTTCTTAGAAAAATGTGAAAAAGTTATATTGAAAATGTTCCCTTTTATGAGAAATTTCCATGGGGTGCATTTAGCTGAGTAATTGCAATCACTTTGTTTCTCTTAGTTGCCAAATATTTTTAAAAAATAAACACCTGATTTTCCTTTTGATCTTCATCAAAAGGTTTCCAGTTCACATTACAGTAAAATAAGAGTACAGCTTACCAGATCTCCTCTATTCTATGTAATCAGTTAAAAAAATGTTTAGCATAGTCTTTAATTTGGCGAGGGCTGTTTTGTTTAAAGCTTTCAGGTTTTATATATTTTAGTTTATTTTTATTTTAAGGTTATCTGTAATTCTAAATACAGATCCCCATCTGTTTTCTTGCCAGGGCAACTCTTTTTCTAGTTTTATGCGTAGCCTCCCCCAAATCCAACTAAGTTCAGTTTCAGTTTTTTATTTGCAAAACTTCTTTGGTAAACAATACTGCATAATAAATCTTCTTAGTACTTCTTAGTGCGGTGGTTCTCAACCGTCATACCCAGGCCTCTCTTGATAACAACTCTTTTCATGCTCCCTCTACTTGCTGGAAGTGAAATTCAGATGTAGTACAACCTACCCACACACATTGTACTTTAAAGTCAACATAATGCTCTCGTCGTAGTATACAGAAGAAATAAATACGTATTACGGTGTATAAACGCGCAGGCACGACCGCAGGAGAGGAGAAAATGGAATAGTTTCAGAGCTTGTACCTATGGATAAATAGGATTCAACAGCTACAAATGCAGAATGGAGTTGAATTGTATCAATGATTCCAGCAGCATGAGCAATGCTGTTGTAGGTGACATTTTCTAAAAATCTTGGTAAGGTTATGAATAATGCAAAGATCAATCTGCCCTTGATTTATTTTATTTGGTAGTTGCATTCTTAGTTCATTGCATTTTAAATCTGCTCAAAATATCCTTTGTGTTTATTGTAAATCAAAGAGAGTCTAGAGCCAGAAAAATGATTAAACCTCGTTGTTTGATTGCACAGGGGGCAACTGAAGTTTGGTGGAGTGCAAGGGAGTACTTAGAGATTTACCAACATAGTGAAGGATGTCCAGCATTCTTGACCCGCTCCAGGTGCAACTCTCCAGTCTTTAAAACAAAAATGCCTCCATAGATATCTAAAGAGCCTCCAGGGGCATGGCAAGTTCTAGAGAAGCACTTCTGTAAAATGTTGGAACAGGACAGATGCTCACAGTGTAATCTTTGTTGTATCCAGCCCTTGTGCTTTAGCCATAATGAGTCATATGTCCAGAATCTCTTATTGGCCAATGAGAAGAGGCACACTTCTTTCAAATGATCTCTGGGACGGTCTGTGCTAAACACGTTTCCAGAGGTGTCACGCCTACCGCCAGCTACTTTCCTAGCTGCCTGGGCTGTGTGCCTATTTCATAGCCGCCTGCGCAAAGATTGGTGGTTTTAGGCCTTGCCCTTCTCCTACTGTAGTTTCCTTCAGACTTGAGTCTATGTTTCATTGTATTTGTTGTGCGGAACCCGACTTCTCCATCCACTGGGATGCCTTTTTGGAAGAACAGTATTAAAAGTCTCTTTAGACATACGATGTATCTAAACATAAATTCTCATCTGCCATCTATCAATCAATGGAAGCTTAAAATTTAATGACCTGTTTGTGCTCTAAATGTTACTTTTATGAACTTTCAGTGAGGATCTGCTTACCTTCATGAGTAAATCCTTGTGTTGTCTCTCCTTCTCCGTGGTAGAGATTAACCATTCCAAGCAGCTGCCCCAGAAGTTTTGCTGAGCTGTTACGTCAGTGTTGGGAAGCTGATGCCAAGGTATGTAAGTCAGGGTTTTTTTTTTTGGTCGTCGTTCAGAACTCTGAAATTTCACTTGTTTGTTTGGCTTTGAGTTAAAACTTAGGGTAATGAGAGTCATTACAAAGTAAAGCTAGATTGCTGTTCCTGTGAGCCCCAGATGGACTGTTAAGGCTTTCTGTTGTTGTCTGCTTATTTTGATCCTTAGAAATTCATTACTGGCTCTTTCTTACAGCCCCTCTGGCACTCTTGATTCAACAGAAAGAATTGCATTCCTTTGTTTTTAATCTTTAATAAGAACTGTTGCACCTTCGTGTTCTAAAAATGGCCAGCACACAGTGCTTATTCTATGCCAGGCACTATTCCAAGCACTTTATGTACCTCAGAATAGCTCTATGATACAAGTTGTGTTATTCCACCCATTTTCCAGATGAAGAATCAAGGCATGCAGAAGTTAAGTAATGCTCAAGGCCACAGCTAGTACATGCTGAGAATGGAGAATGAGCCCAAGCGGTCTGAACCAAAGACCAGGCCAGAGTAGCACTTCTATTTGTTTTTGTTTTTTTTTTTAAGATTTTATTTATTTATTTGACAGACACAGCGAGAGAGGGAACACAAGCAGGGGGAGTGGGGGAGGGAGAAGCAGGCCTCCCGCAGAGCAGGGAGCCCAGTGAGGGGCTCGATCCCAGGACCCTGGGATCATGACCTGAGCCGAAGGCAGACGCTTAACGCCTGAGCCACCCAGGCGCCCCCAGAGTAGCACTTCTGGAGAAACTTGGTATATACTCCTTGTCCGGATTCATGATGTTTTGAAGCCATCACAACAGAGTTGGAGACATTCCAAAATGTAGACTTTCCTGTGGTTAGCACATCTGAGCATGAAGGCCCATTTCCTTTCCCTGCAAAGATCATTTTAAAAGACTCTTACATACCTACGGAAATATTTATGGATAAAATGACAGGCGAATCTTGGATTTACTTCAAAATAAAATGAAAGGACATAGATGGTGGTGTAGATTAAACAAGATTGGCCATGATAATTTTTGAAGCCAAGTGATAAGTATATGGAGGTTCATTTTTTTTTTTCCTAAGAATTTTTAAAACTTTAATACAGTTCAAATCAGTGGGCTGGGTTCACTTCAGCTCCTTCACTGCCAAACCTGGGAGCAGGGACTGCTTCAGTTGCTCTGCCTTCTCCTTGTCCGTGATGATCCTTGATGACCAAGGTGTAAAGGTGTCTGCTGCACCGAGCTTTAAACTTCACATTATCCTTATTTTTCTTAATCTTGACGGATTTGGCGTCCTTTCGCCTGGCCGTGAGCACAAAGTCCTTGATTTCCTCGATTTTGGGAGGCATGGCTACCGGGGGGCGCAGGGGGGCACGCGGCCGCCACCCAATCATGGGTTACCCCGATTAGTGCCCCGTTTACCGCCCGAAACACTCACGTATATGGAGGTTCATTACATTGTTCTCTCTACATTTGTTTGTTTGAAATTTTTCATAATAAAAAGTTAGAAAGTAAAAAAAGACCCTCACAGATTAAACACAAAGAAGAGACAGACCCAAGAAAGGAACTGTAATTTTATAGTTCGGATTTGTCCACTCTTTCATGGAAATAGATATATTGCAAACTGACTTTTTAAATAGAGATCTAAAAACAAAGACTTAGGAATGGAATTTCTTCCTTAATTTAAACCCCGTTCCAATCGGGCCCTCAGGAAGAATGCATGCGGGTAACACACAGCATCTTTCTCTAGTGGGAAGGATGCACAACCGGTAAGTTGGAGTCCTCACCGCGCCGAATCACACACGTGACGCAGCACGTGGTTCCGCCCCACCACGTGAGAACAGCTCAACGCCAAGTACAGTGGTCTGTACGGTAGAGCAGCCGATAGAGCAGCCGGGCGCGCGGATCTGCGAGGCCTCTGCCCCGTGTGCGCCCTGCTGGCTGGGCTGGCCCGGCCGGTGCCTTGTCTCCGAGGAGATTGTTCTGGGGGCTTCCCGGATTTGCACATTTCACCTTTGACCTGAGAACCAGCAGCCTTAATCTTTGCTTTCACCCCTGTTCATCAAACTACCTTCACCCTTTTTTTAAAAAAGGGGAGTCTTATATTTACTTAGTATTGTTTGTTATTAAAGAATTTAACATTTTTAAATTCTGTTAGTGTTTTTATTTAGTATCACTTTTTATTACCTCCATGACAAAGTTGCATAGGTATGGCATGGTCTGCCCTGCCTCTGTTTAGGTCCTATTATTTTTATTTATTTATTTTTAAAAGATTTTATTTATTTGACTGAGAGACAACAGCGAGAGAAGGAACACAAGCAGGGGGAGTGGGAGAGGGAGAAGCAGGCTTCCCGCGGAGCAGGGAGCCCGATGCGGGGCTCCATCCCAGGACCCTGGGATCATGACTTGAGCCAAAGGCAGACGCTTAACGACTGAGCCACCCAGGCGCCCCTAGGTCCTATTATTTTAGTGTGTGATTTGCAGAATATGGGGTTTTTAAGCTTTAAGAGAAATGCCTGCACTTTGTAGCTAATCCAGCAGAAAATATACTCAGCCATTTGCAGGCTTGCTCTAGAACATTTGTATTTTTAAAATGCTGTGGTACTACCTTCTCCATACTTTTCCTACCAGTTGTGTCCATTGTGGCATATATAGTCATTTTGGCAGTATTTTTCTGCTACTTAAATAAAAATTTCACCTGAAATTATTTGCATTGAATTAGATTAATGCAACTAGATTCTCTATAATTGCAATTATATTTCAGTATGCAAAGCAGGTTTTGAATTTCTTAATCGGAAACTGTACTTCATTAATTAAAATTCTAAGAATATACATTTATGGTGCATTAATTAAATAGTGTAAACACCTAACACAGAAAGGACATTAGGCCTGCTGTTGATGCTATGAAGCTGGCATGTCTTTAACATGCAGCAAGTTTATCCTTCTTTAGGACGAGTGGCATCTTGTGTTCTAGCCAGGTGAAGTATAAAGAAAGTTTAAGATTGATTTTTACTTCCGAAATTCAAGGTATTTTATTCTGATACAATTAATACAGCCCCCCTGTATTTAAGTATACACCCCACATTTCCAGCGCTCTCTGTGGCTGATCTCCAGTCAGGCCTTACACACCTTCCTTCCCTGGGCATGCCCTCTTCTTTTCTTTCCTCCCTGAGGTCTTTGCTGGCCCGCCTTCCCTGGCTATTCTATTTACCCCAGCCCATACTTTGTCCTCCTTTTCCTAAACCAGAGTCCGGGCTACTGCCTTACCCTGTGCGGTTGTATTTTTCAAATCTCTCTTCCTACATGGATTGCAGCCTCTTTGAGGGAACGAAGCTGCTCTTAGCACCTCACACATGCATAGTAAGTAGAGGCCCAGTGTGTTGACTGAAGTAGCCAGACCAAGGCACATTTTAGTTCTCTGGCTTTAAGTATGTGGCAGTTCAGGCTCTCGTGGATGCCACTCCTGTGCATACAGAGAGAGCTATCACTGGCTAAACACTTTCATTTCTTTTTTTCTCTCCCTAGCCCTTATGCTTTAAAAACATAGATGAAAATACTCGGCTCACCTGTAGAAAAATGTTCTTTTGCAGTGAGGAGGGGGAAGGGAATACAAGAGAAAGCTGGTGTTGGGTAAATGTCAGGTCATGCCAGTGGCTTACACCAGGTGCTCAAAGTGTTGTATCGAAGAGAAGAAGGAAGTAAAGGTGGGTATTGTTTCCAGTTCTAAAATGGCATTTCTAAATAGGAAAAAAAAAAAAAAAGGCAAAAAAGCCCTGAGTTTGATAGGAAGTAACATCTTACCCTCATGTGATAAAACACATTGGAGGGTTTAAGAGCCTTGCGCCTGATTCAGAAACTTGCTTCCTGTGTGATACTGGGCAATCCATACTTTTCTGAGATGGATTTTTCTTATCTATAAAATGAAGATAACAAGGGGCGCCTGAGTGGCTCAGTCGGTTAAGCGTCTGCCTTCAGCTCAGGTCATGATCCCAGGGCCCTTGGGATTGAGCCCCGCATTGGGCTCCCTGCTCAGCGGAGAGCCTGCTTCTCCCTCTCCCTCTGCCTGCCACTCTATCTGTGCTCTCTCTCTCTGTCAAATAAATAAAATCTTAAAAAAAAAAAATGAAGTTAACAAATAATGTATATAGATGCTTAATAGATGATCCTAGTTATAATTTTTTTAATGTGAACAAAACCTATGTAATACTAAAAGGAACCTCCTGGACCAAATATTGTATTATGCAACCTGAGTATTCATAAAATATCATTACCACAAAATTCTACATTGTTGTTTTTAAAATGTTAACTTTGAAATTTCCATCTGAGAGTATATTCTACCTATAAAATTAAGGTTTTTCTAGGGATACTTGTCACCTAATTTCAAAAGAGTTTTACTTTATTTCAAGAATGATTAAACGTAGGGAAAAATATTCTTTAAAAATTCATTAGCCTCTCCTGCTTTTCCATGCAAAATGAAAATTCTATATTTATTATATAATTCCTCTGCAAACAGCTCAAACATTTTTCCTTTCACACAGTGACACACAGTAGGAGGAATTAAATGGGAATAAAGTTAAAAGAAGACAAAATATTTTTCAAATTTTCTACTTCAGGCATTTACTTCTTTTATTAGAACGCTTTAATGTGGATCAGATACTTACGCCCTCTACTTAAAACACACACAGGCACACATTCCCTTAAGAGTGCAATGAAGGCAGAACTCAGAATAAATATCCCAGTTTTATATTTATATTCCTGAGAAATGGAAAAATCATCTCTCTTAATGTAGGAAGCACTCAAGTCCTGAGAGCAAGCCACCTCAACATTGTTCCTTCTTGTTTTGTGCTCCTAAGTTAAAATGCATGTTTTAATTGCTGCAACTGTAATTTGCTCAGAAATGGTATAATTATGAGGCATGATGAAGAGAGAATGTGCATCATCCTTTTATTATCTTTCTTCCATTTTTGTTTTAACCTTTTGTCTCAGCCTTGGCTAGAGTCTAAAGAGACAGACAAGTACAGTTACTGCTAGCTGAAGAAATGCACCTAACCGCTGCTTTATCATTTCTAGTAAACAGTACCTTAGAGTTTCACGGCTCCAAATGGGTTATGATGTGGAATAAACATTGAGAACAGTGAAGTTAAGATGGCTTGAAAATTGGGGAATTTTTCTCTGAGCAAGTGGTTGAGGAAATTGTATTAGTTCTCATAGATTAACTAGGGTTTTCCCCAACATTTTATTGTAAGAATTTGAAACCTGCAGAAAGGGTGAAAGAATCTTAATGGTGAACACCAGGACACCTACCACGCAGCTTCTACCGTTAACTTTTCCTAAATGTGCTCTATCCCATAGGTTTTTAAAGGACTTGCCTTTTCCCTTTTAGGAGTCCTTAATCAGACCCAAGAGAGAATTCGTACTTTCCTTACCTGGAGAAAAGCTGTCATTCCAACCTTAGGCCACAAGATAGAATAATGACATCTGACTCTGTTCTTATAAGTTATTGAAAATAAGGAATATGGTCCCCTTCAACCTGAGCAGTGTGACAGTTGTAAAAGAACTCAGGACATTGTGTGCCATTTTATTTTGTTGTGGTGTGTCGAGCTTATTGCTGTGCTTGTGGATTTTCTCTTCAAGACTTGCTTTCTTAAGTCCCAACAAGTGATTATTTTCTCTTCCTCAGAAACGGCCATCTTTTAAGCAAATCATTTCAATTCTGGAGTCCATGTCAAACGACACTAACCTTCCCGACCAGTGTAACTCATTCCTGCACAACAAGGCAGAGTGGAGGTAAGTAAGCCTTGTACCAAGTCATGACCTCTCGCTTTGAAAGACCATGACCAGCTTCACTGAAGAAGAGCACCAGTGAACTTGAGGACAGTCCTGACTTCTAAGCATAACTTAGAGTTTTGTTTGTTGTTTATGTTAAATTTTTTTGGACATCTAATAAGTCCTCCTTTTCATATGTAAACAAAAAAGCAATCCTCTAAGCTTGTTGCCTTATCATATATCTAAGTATTTGGAAAGAATATTGAAATCACATCTTCTGAGACAAAAGATAGTTACCAGACATTTCTCTGTATTACACGCTGTGTTAGGAAGCCTTGGCATCTGTCCAGTGAGAAATAAAAATACTGTTTGCCTAGGGATTTGCAGAGTACTGTATCTGTTGATGGAGGGGGTAGGGAGACTATAAAAACACTTAAAAGAAAACTTTTGATGTTATAAATCCTATTAAATTTTGTCAAGTGTAAAACAAACTTAGTAATGAGAGAATTGTATTGTGTGAGTGGAAGAAGCAAGCCTGGGATGAGACAGTTGAGCCAGGTCACGTGCTGCAGGAATATAAATAGCATGTTTGGGAGCTGACATTATTCCTCCCTGACGCAGCAGAGATTTAAGTAACTTATCTCCGCTTCTGAGAGCCTCCGTGGTAATGCGACGCCTTACGCCACCTGCTGATGCCCAGGGAATACTGCATGTACTCTGAAAACGATGGCGTTGTTTACTCCTGTGATTAGACATTTCCTTGGGCTTTCTGTTTGATTGTGTTTTACAATAACCTTATTTATTTTTATTCCTTTGAACTCTATTCAGGGCCAGTGAGTTAAATGGATTTTTATTTAGGGAAACAAAAGTCATACTGTCTGCTTGAGTGTAGGTATGACGGGTTTTGTTCTGGACTTAAATAATTAACAAAACAAGTAATAATGCTGCCTACAAGAACAGTGGAAATCTAATCAGATGACCCCGCTTTTAAATCCACGTAGGGGATTACTCTAGTACAAAGGCCAATGCTTCACAAGACTCATGAGACCCTTTGTGCTTTGACCTCAGCAGTCTTACCTCAGGAGCATAGTTCTGCCTCTTAATTTCTGGCTTCTGGTCCCTCAACAGATGCGTATTTCTTCCTCATGCAGAGTCCTTGCAAATGCAGTTTCTTCTGTATAAAATTCATCCCTTTCAGCGGCGTACCACCCCTGACACCCACATCCAGCTTGGCTCCTATTCATCATTCAGAGAGCAACTGAAATAACATGTCTTTAGGGAAATGTTTCTGACCCTAGATAGATGAGGTTCCACTTTATGTGCCCCGAGAGCACCTCCTTCATAGCCACGACTGCTGTTGGAATGCATAAGTAGTTCTGTAGTCTGTTGTTTAATCTGTGTCTCGCTGGCCGAAATGTAAACGGGTCAGATAATTTCTTTTGTTCGTTACTATAACTGCAGCATCTAGAATGTGCCTTGAACACAGCAGTGGGTCCATAAATACTAGAGGAAGGAAACACCACGGTGGTAGTAATATTAAAAGACATTACGGTATTACACAAGGGAATATAAATATGTAAGCTAATTTGCTGACTATGACAAGTGTGCTTCTGACATTCGTTCATTCAGATAGTGCCTGAATCTCTGCCGCGGCAAGGTGCTCCTGTCCTGTGCTGTGGCGGTGAGCAGAAGGGCCCCAGTGCACATGGACTGGGGTGTCTCATGTCAAACTGCTAAATATAAATATACAAGTAACGTTTTAGGACTCTTGATAAGTATGATGACAGAGAAGTACTGGACATGTGAGACTATACAACCATGAAATCTAATCTAGTCTGACAAGATAATAAGAGGATTTCCTGGGGAGATGCTGTTTGATCTCTTCTCCAAAAGATCAGTGGGATTTTAACATTACTACTGATACCCTTGAGATGTAGTATCTCAGATACTGTATATCAGAATATAGGGAGGGAGTTGGTAAGTTTTCGATATAAAAATGTAAAAGCTCCATATGGCCAAAAGCAATAGCCGTCATGAACTTCCAAGACAAAGGCCATCTGCTCAACAACCATTTCCCCCCATATAATAGCTCAGCACATCTCAAAGTTTTTGGTCTCAGGACTCCATTATACTCTAAAAAATTATTGAGGACTACAAAGAGATTTTGTTTCAGTGAGTTACATCTGTCAATATTTACCACACTCAAAATGAGAATGGAGAAAAAAATGTAAATATGTAGTTATTGATTCATTTAAGAAACAATAAATCCTGCCTCTACATTCAGCCTGTGGCTTTGCCACCTCTCATGAAGTCTCTGGAAACAGTCTGTACGCTCGTGAGAGAATGAGAGTAGAAAAGGCAAATCATGTCTTAATGTTATTCTGAAAACAGTTTAACCTCTTGAATCGTTTGAAAACCTCTCATGGGTCCCCAGATCACACTTTGAAAACCGCTGTAGTAGACAGAGTTACTGTCTAAAATAATACTTTAATTATAGTCCCATTCTAAAGGCATTTCACAAAAGGGGAAATCAAATGGCCAATAAATATATGAAAAATAGTTAACCTCACTTACCAATCAGGTAACTATAAGGGAACATAATTCATTTACCAGATTGGCAAAGTTTTACATTATGAAAATATCCAGCATTATAAACTTTCTAGTATGTTGCTGGTGAAAATACTACCTTTCAGACCCCTCCACCACTACCATTTTATCTCTAAGAAAATAAATGGAAAGGTTGTGCAAGAATGTATGGACACCTGCTTATTAGCACAGCGTCGTTTAGAATTGCAAACTAGAATGGCATAAAGTACAATAAAAAGATTTTGGGGTTTTTGTGGTTTTTATGGTTTTAAAAACTGATAATATCTCCATATACAGAATAGATGGAGCCATTCATGATATAACAGATCTGACAGATGATTTAAAAATAGAGGCACTAGGGTCCAGTATGACTGGAATGATTCCGGTTTTTTGTAAAATAGACATATTTATGTGTATATGCTGTGTGCACAGAGAGAAAAGTATCAAAAGGCCAGTATTACCATTGGATAATGAAATTATGAGAGAGTGGTTTCTCTTTGGAGATCTTTATGTCCTGCAAACCTGGATAGTTGAATACATTTTTTAAATGCTTCACAATGAAAAGATGAGGAAAATAACATTGGTAATACATTAATGTATTTTAGTAAAAAGCAAGCAGTTGCCTAGCTGGCTTCTTCCTTGGCTGTCCTTCAGGAGCTAATTAATCCTCAGGGCTGGTGAGAGAATACCTATCTTTACCTGAACCACTAAACTAGTCTGAGAAGTCGTAGAGCTGTTTTAACTGAACTTGGCAACTGGTTAAAAACATAGGGGGTAGTAATGATGTTAATTAGAGTCACAATACACACAGCTGTCATTCATTATATTCTTACCAGACGCTTGTACTTTACCTGGATCATCTTGTTTTAATCCACATGGCCATCCTAACTTCTTTCACAGATGTAAAATCTGAGGCCTGGACAGGTTGGGTCACCTGTCCCAGATCACACCATGTAAGACAGAGCCAGTGCTAGAACCCACGTGGTCTGGTCCCACAGGCCTGCCGGGGCACACAGTCTATGCGGTGCTGTTCCTGGACCCCCATGGCCGGTGCCAAGCCTTCCACTCATCTAGCACGCGGAGTTCACTTGACTCGATTCCTTTGCGCAAAGAGAAATACTACAGAGCATGATTACTTTAGGTTATGATTAAGACAAAACAACTATCCTACTCTATGCCACATACTAGAAAGAATTAAATGCTTTGTCAGATCATCTGGATATTTCTAAGAACAACACATTCAGACTGTTCCCTTTTGTCTGGTGTCTGAAACCACGTGACTAGGGTCAAAAGCATGTGTAGGAAATCTGGTGTTTCTGGCAAACGCTTGTTTTCTGGTAGAGCTTCCTTACACATAGACCCGATGAAACATCCTGTTTTAGAGAATTAGATGGTTCTTAAAATTGTTTTTAAAATTAGGTTATTAACAACCACATAAACTATGTTTTTTCCTTTGACCTATTAGATGATAGGAAAGAAATCTGTCAGGCATTTCCTTGTTCATCATATCTTTAGCTTGTCTCTCCTTTTATTGACTTATTAGCAATAATAGCAGTGAGTATTAAGAACAGGAAATGTGTCACCCTCTTGGTCATGTTTGCAATTTTCATTGCCCCATGTGACTGTCTCCAGACCCGTGGTAATCCGCACTGAGCAAGCTTTGTGGTGCTCGGATGGCGTGTTCGGAGTTGGGCCTCTTGGCAGAATACTTTGCTGGTTGTAGTCCTCCTTGGTGATCAGAATACTCTCGCTGTGGCATGCCTTGTTAAAAACAAAAAACAGATCAAAAAATGTAACCTTTGCAATTTGGATATTAGCACCAATCATTTAATATATAACATTACTATACATACTACCTATTTATCGTCATGTATAATATGGCTGTTTTTACAAATTGACCTTAAAAAGAGAACTCCAGTTCACTCTGTTTTTGGCATATGGAGAATTGATACTAGGGGAAGTCAACCTTAGTTAGATTTGGGTTAAGAAAAAAACCGTAATTTTCATCAACTAAAACACTTTTTTAAAACACTTTTATTTATCGAACAGGAAGGTGATACAGGCACATCAACAGATGCTTGTGATGCAAAACAGTGCATGGGCAACACAGGGAACAGCGAGGGGGCAGCTGTCCTGATGCCCCCCTGGGGTCTGCGTTGCATCCGACACTCCCTGCAGACCCGGGGCGCCTGGGGGAGCAGAGCTGGAAGTGCTGAGCCTGAGGAGATGGGTTGAGGAAGCACATTTTACTCAGTGTTTGGTTCCCTGTGTCGCAGCTTTCAGCTTACTTAACTGTTGATCTGTTTTCCAGAAGGGCTCAAAATCACAGTCGGCTCCCAGAGCTGAAACTTGGCTTAAATTACGAGGGAACTCGGATGTGCTGGCCGTGTACCCCGACCAAACAGTCTGGGCGCGCTCCGTCCCTCTGGCAGGGTGCCGCTGGCGGGGCTGAAGCACTGAGCACACCGCAACCGCAGCCCCAGGCCCCGGCCGTCCGCCACGGAGCGTGCTGCCTTCTCCCATCACCCGCTGACCCCCTCCGTTTCCCAGGGTGGCTCGTCCGTCCTTCCTTCGTCACAGAAGTTTCACCTAAGGTTTCCCACAGTGGTTTTTCCCCCTCAGTCCTCCATTTGGAAAATAAACGCAAACTCACCTCTGAAGGGGCATAATACTCTTGTCAGAAATACCCAGAAATATACAATCTGGATTTTATGACAGTCATGATTCTGAAAGATTGCTGACTTAGTGCCTTTCTTTAGGGTATGTAGTATGACTCTATCGTTC